ATTTACGGTCAGTTGTGCAGGTGTGCCGGGTGCAATTTGCTAAACCATCACAAAATTAGCATTGAGTAGTTTATTGATGCAGATTTCATTTCATTTTCTTTTTGCCATGTGTTACTTTAATATGGATCCTACAACCAGTTTTATAATAGAGGCCGAAGATCTGCACATCTAGGACAATATGTCTTTTATGGCGCATATAACAGTTCCACTTTCAGTACATCTGTTCAACTGCTTGTTAACTCAAGTAAAAAATTAGCCAATCACATGACTGTAACTCAGTGCATTTAGGCATGGTCAAGATGATCTGCTGAAGTTTAAACTGAGCATCAGAATGGGCAAGAAAAGAGATTTAGGGGACATTTTCAGGTTTGGGTTTTTTTTGTTTTCTTTTTTTTTCATTGTTGGTTCCAGACGGGCTGGTCTAAGTATTTCAGAAACTGCTGATCTTCTGGGATTTTCCCACAGACCCATCTCTAGGGTTCACAGAGAATGGTCAGAAACAAAAAAAAAATATCCAGGATGTGGTGGAACGGGAGATTCGCCTGATGGACGTGCAGCCAGGAAATCTGCAGCAACTGTGTGATGCTATCGTGTCAAATGGTATCAAAATCTCTGAGGAATGCTTCCAGCACGTTGTTGAGTCTGTGCCGCAAAGAATTAAGACACTTCTGAAATAGCTCAGAAGCAGCAAGGTGTACCTAACAAAGCCTTGCAATGAAACTATGGAGGTTCACTGCCACCCATCCTCAAGTTCCAGAGGGAAGACTATGTGTAATTAGGAAATTGAAGAAGACACATGGTGCAATACAGGCTAAATAATATGAAACAAGGCTCCTGTTCTTAAATGTCTGCACTGTACTTTGCTATGTTTTACTATTCCCCCCTCGTTTCTTCATTCCTCTGTTTGCCATTTCTTTGTATTTTTCTAATTTTTATGTCGATTAGCTTTCCTATGTCTGTCTGCCTTTTTTGAGTCTCTTGCTCCATGTGTGTGTTTGTCTGTCTTAGTGGGCCCTTCAGAAGTTCTTATCACGTATTTGGTCTAACACAGGTCCTCAGAGACCTGCTGCAATCAGCTAGAGCAGGAAGCCAACATGAGCCTGCTCTGCAGAGAGCATTATTCTGCACTTAACAATCATGACCTATTCTTCCCCTTTCCTGTTATCCCTCCCTCCCCTCTTCCTCTCGTTCACCTCTCCCGACTGTTGTTGCTTTGAGTGTTAGTATCAGTGTGAAATGTGCCCTTGTTGTGGAAGTTGAGAAGAAGGATGCATTTCCAGTGACTGATTTCTCTGAAAAGTAACGGCATGTAGGAAAACAAAGTGTTTTACTAATGCGCAGAAATGAGAAATTCTGTGGGAGGGAGATCTAAACAAATCAGGAGGGTTTGACTTCAGATAATGACAGCTCGTTTACACTTTTCTGTTCTGAAGTTTTTTGTGAATAACAATACTCTGTGCATGTGCATCTTTAGTATGGGCTTGACAGACAACAAAGCATGTGCTGGGTTTTTTTGTGACAGCATGTTGCTGGCTTTTTGTAACACTGAATAATGTCACATGACTATGATGATAACATGGATTTCAAAGCCTCTGTTATTGTCACAACAATAGGCCTACCATCCTTGTATTTTGTAGGTCCGTCTCTGTCTCTCTTTGTCCATTATCTTGTACCAAGTCATTAGCAGCAGATGCTACAAGTCCTGAAGTTTGCAAGGTGGATTCTGCATGGATTTGACTTGTTATTCAAACCTATCCCGCAGATGTCAATGATCAGTAAAGTAAAATCCACATGAATGCCATGAACTAAGGTAAAAATATTGCTAAGCGTGTCACCGATTTGCTTTTTTCCCCCACAGTGAATAACGATGTGATCTTTTCCCAGCCTAAGCTATGCAAATGTTTCCCACCTTCCACATAGTGCTTTATCAGACCAGGCCACTTGCTTTCATTTTCCTGGGTGCCTAATTCTCCGTCACTTTTTCAGTTTGTTTTTTCACGAGTCAGTCTTGATGGGTAGACTTGTATCTACTACCTGACTATAATTGTCTTGGTCCAAGATGATTCGCTTTCTCACAGCCGGTCCAGATATCGCAATTACTGTTGAGAGATACACCGGAAAAAAAGGCTCTGGTCACTGATCAGAGTGTCTTTGATTGAAAGATATTACTTCTGTCTTTAAGATATAAGGCATATAAGGAAGTTTAGTGAACGTTGTCACCTGTGGAAGAAATTGATTCTACATGTAAATACTTTATGCAACATTGTTATTTATTGTCATTTATTTTATGTAATTGAATTGCATTGGATTGTACGGATTCTGCACTTTTTAAATGCATATTAAATCAGATTGGGAGATCAGTGCTAATATCCATTTCTAATGCTATTCTGTTTCTAGCAGTTGAGCTGACTCTTTGATTGAGAGTCAGCTCTAACACACTTCACAAGTTTCTTTCCACACAGAACAGATGAGATCTTGAATAGCAGACAGACAGACTTCACCTCGCAGATTTGGAAAATGTTTTATCCTGCACTATTTTGGAAAGTGAATTATAACCAGACATGGAGATAAAAATATACTAAATAAAATTTGAATAAACCTTCACTCAAGACTTACTTTTGGGTGTTTTGCAGAATGTGCAGTGACATGATAGACTGTTTCCATGTTTATTGGATTGCATTTGGCAGATTCTGTATTGTATTCCGTGAGAGAGGAGGGTATAGATTTTTTCTAACCAGATAATTGATCAAATTCCAGTAAACAATGGTAATATGACAGAGGAGACAAGCTTCAGAAAATGCTTAATATTCAATTTACCAAAAAGTTGATTCTGGTCATCTGGACGTAGCGTTTTCAGTGGGAGAAATTTTTCATCACTCATCCAAGACTTCAGAAATTGTCTTACCTTTTCATGTAAATGGCCTCCTTGACTCCGCGCTCAAACCAGCGTTCCTCCCTGTCCAGGATGTGTACATCCTCATCATTGAAAGAGTGTCCACTGGCCTGTAGGTGTAAATAGACTGCAGAGTCCTGGCCTGACGAGTTAGCTCTTCTGAGTTGTGCCATCCGATTACCCAAGGTTGTTTGGTTTCGCCGATGTATAAATCACGCCAATCCTTCTTGAACTTAACAGCGTACAGAGACCATCTCTGAATTGCAGAGAGGGCCCAAGTTTAAATCTTTCAATATCTTATAATGCTGTTAGTGTTGCCATTTCCAATCTCTCTGTTAATGCTACTCATGGCCAGTGTTGGGTAAGTTACTTTAAAATAGTAACTTAGTTACATTACTAGTTACTTCTCTCAAAAGTAACTCAGTTACTTCAAGTTACTCGTTACTTTCAAAGTAACTAGTTACTAGGGAAAGTAACTTTGGTTTTACTCAGAATTCTCTTGTTAATGTGTTTCTTCCATAACTTTGCCAGTCTTCTAGCTTGCTTACTTGCCACAAGTGCACTGTGCCACCTACCAATAGAAAGGAAAAGATAATGTGCATATTTCCACGAGAGAAATCCCACGCCTGGACCGTCATTGACTGCTGCCATGATTCTAGCCTACGTCACAGCGTCATGTGCGCCTTTTACATCCAACACAAAAACTGCAGTCGTGGTGCTTTGATTGTACTCAGAACTCGAAATTCTGCCTTCTGAATAGGAAGATGTAGGTAACACCAGACTGCAGATGAGCTGCATACAGGGCTGGACTGGGACAAAAATTGGCCCGGGCATTTTGACTAGAGACCGGCCCACCATTATAGGAAAAATCATAAAGCCTTTGAATGAAAATAAACACTGTTGTGACAGTGATGTTACACTGTTTTGATGGTATATATGCATCAATCTATCAATCGTTTGTTGTAAGATTCAGATAATTATTTTTTAAAAGCTAGACATTTTAAATGAGAATAAGAAAGAAAAGTATTTCTTTGTGCCCCCCTTTCCCTGTTAATGCCCTACATGCCCCCCTGGCAACACTTTGCTAGACCCGCCCCTGCACAGTTACCAGCTGTCAGCTACCTAAAAAAGGATCCTGGTGTTATTTGTCTCTCAGAAACAGTTCATAACTTCCCTTCAACTCATTCATGTCACCTAAAAGGTAAACCTGTTTCTCCATCACTTCAGCTCTGATGATCCAGTAAGGACATCTCCTGGTTTCATCTTCATGTTTCCCTCTCACCAGATAACCAAACCATATCATGACCAGCAGCTTTACAGCTGTGGCTCCAGCAAACATCAGCTGATACTAGAAATTAATATTAAATAAATTCTAACAACAGCTGATCAAGCTTAAACGTGCTGCTGTTGTTTAGCGCGACATCCGCTGGTTTCCTCTCTGGCAAAGTGAGCGATAAACAAGGAGCATAGCTGAGTCGAGCAAAGTGAGCGATAAACAAACAAGAGAGCCGATCAGCTGATCATTGATCAGTTTCATGATTGAAGTAGAAACGGAGAGGGAGGGGGGAGAATGAGAAGAAGAGGCAGCTGTGCAGCAAAGACACAGAATAACTCCAGCTTTGTGCCTTTTTCATTGTAGCTGAATTACGGGACAAACTGTTCCTTTTCACCTCAATAAGAAACGCGTAATATTTTCTCTGAATACCAGACGGGACGGTTGGCAACTCTAATAACTTATGAACAAAATAAAGTTCAACATCATAACCATAGCACCACCCAGCTGTATAGAAACTCCGTCATGCTAGCTAGCACGCAGTACGGAAAAAGTCAGCATAACGAAAATAAACTCCACCTAAACTTGGTTCATATCTGACCCAGAGAGACTGCAGGTCATAACTTCTTACCTGAAGTTCAGTTCACACTTGGACCGGCGGCCGCCTCGGGTCTCTTTTCCTCTTGCCTCCCTTTTCCTTCATCCACCTGCTGGCCTCCACCACTTGCTAATGTTACTGAATCTGTGGAAGCTCCGCGATAGCCACCACACGAAGTAACGAGTAACGACCTATCTAAATCCCAGTAACGAGTAACGCGTTCCTGATTTTGGCATAATAACTAGTTACCGTGCTCGTTACCACAATAATAACGTAGTTACTGTAACGCGTTACTTAATAACGCGTTAGTCCCAACACTGCTCATGGCCAATGGTCTTGATCAATGAACAGTGGTTGTTGATCAATGCACTGACAATTAGCATATTTAATGATCAAGAAACTGACCTCACAGCATGTTGTTCGTCAGTGGTGTTAGTTTCAGTAATTGTGTCAAGGTACTGTTCATAAGGTTGGGAAACCTGCAGTCAGCTGAGACTGAAGAAGAACTTGGATGAGTGACGAAACGTTTCTCCCACTGAAAACGCTGCGTCCAGATGAACAGAATCAACTTTTGGGGATTTCCTTACCTGGATGATTAAGCATGCATTAAAACAATATTGAATTTATATTTTTGAGACAATCTCTCCTCTAGCTTAATCTTTTCAAAGTTACTCTGTACCCTTTGGATTCCCCCTCCTTTTCTCATAGGCTCTCATTGTTTCCTTGAAAGATAATGGGGTTTTAAGCTGTTTCCCATTTATGCGTACTTAAACTCTGACTTTATGGTCACAGATTGGTATTGCACCATTTAATCACTCTTAGAGCTTTATGTTCTGTACTCAGGTTAGGCTATCAAATATCCCCGTCTTGAATATTTTATGACACGATGCCTTCCTCTTGCTCAGGGAAATGTGTCATCTGAGCTAATCTGTAGTCGTTGCCTTCTAACACTGTCCTTCCCCCTTAAAGCACGAGGGATTCAGTGGGTTTTGTCGCCAATGGCCATGTGAAATATTCATTTCAATTAATTTTCAGTACTTTTACTACTTTTCAGTACTACTGTACAGTGGCTTGTGTGGAGTTGAATTACCTCAAAAATGATGTACTAGTGGCATATATGAAATGTAATGCAATATAATAATTTTCTCAGTTCAGAAAAACTGAGAAAGGTTATATGAGACATGGTGTGGTAATACAAATCATGAGAATCTAAGCACAAGTATGAATTGATTTTCCTTAGAAAAATCTAAACCATTTCTGACTTAAACAAGTATTAATGAAATCTTTCAGGGTTGCATATAGTGGCAAAAACAATTCAGTACTTTGCTGCTATCGCTTTTAGTCACCCAGCTCCCCAAGCTCAACCTCTCTGATGCAGAAGCCCTTTCATATGCTTTGATCCTGTTAATAATTATTATCCATGGAGCTGAAGAAGAAAAGCAGAATGGAAAAGCAAAGAATGTTGCAAACTGATAGGCACATACGGGGGTTTCGGGAGGGGGTGGGTGAGGCTGGGAATGTTTTCAGGGATCGGAGTTTCAGCCCTGCGTTTTCCTTTCGCAGACATTTTCAGCGATTATGAAAAAGCAGAGAACGGCTCAAAGACGTCATCTGACGTGATCCTATGCCAAAGGGTGACATTCCTGCCACAGATAAACAGCTGTGGAACTTGAAACATATTTTTCCTGTTTTCACATACAGTGTAGAAAAAAGAATACTGTTGCTGATGCTTAAATGCGCCCTCCATACCATACATATTCTCCTATCGCTCATGTTTTTTTTGGATGAATTCTTAGTGGCCTTGCTTTATCTCATCCACGCTGTCCATCATTGTTGGAAGATGTTTGCCTCCTGGGCTGGTTCCCTATCTGGAGTGGCTCTGAATGGGCTCAGAACAGAACTGGAATGAAGATCCCTACTGGCCTACTGGCAGCAGTGAGAAAGGAAAGCACAGGGGGTGAGAGCAAGCCAAGAAGCTCAACTGTTTCTTCGTCCTTCTCGCTCTACTGGGGTTGGAACATTTTTCCATTCCTCCATAGTTACTGCAATTCATACCAGACTGTTGATATTCAATTCTATCTTATAACATCACTTCAGCGTGTAGTTCCTGTGCCATATCATGCTCAGTGCAAGGATAGAGTACAATTAATCTGATACTTTATAGTATTTTAACCATCTTTTTTATTATTATTTAAACTACAAGACTGCTGGGCTTTTTTTTAGTCTATAGTACTACAAGAAAGTAGTGCTATTTCTGTCCTGATGTTATATTATAAAATCCCCCCCTACAGAAATTGGAGGGATTATAGAGCCTGTTAGCCACAGGGAGAAAACATCTCCTGTAGTGTTAGGGTGATGAGTCTTTTTCCTCGTGTTCATTGTGTCTTACCAGGGAGCCATGAATAGGATGAGAGGAATTGTGCCTGATGCTGAGAAGTCTCTTGAGTATACTCCCCTCAGACACATCCACCAGAGTCTCTAGTTAAGCTCCAAGAAAAGAACCAGCCTTCCTGATGTGTTAAAGTCTGTTGGCATCAAATACTTACGGCCCCCTGTCTGAGCACACAGCTGCATGAAAGGCCACACTCGTCTCCACGGAGTAATACATCATATGCAACATGATCCTGCTGGGGTTGAAGGTTCTAGCCTTCTCAGTAGAGGAAGTCGACTCTGGCCCCCCTTTTATATATTTTTTAGTATTCCTCAAACCTTTACTGGGGCCATGATTGAAAAAAAAAAAACTAAAGGGCTTCATGTTTTTACTGAGACAGAATTGTTTTATACAGGAATTCTTTGGTGAAATACACCACAATAAGACAAAGAGCTGAACCTGTTATTCACAGAGTGGGTACCCCCACAGATTCCCCTTGCTGCCACTGTTGATTGACGAGACTGTAATGCAGTGGGACACACTAATCTATAACAGCATCTCACACTCCATTGGATGGAGATGTGAATTTTCAGCAGACCTGGGAATACATCACTGCCTCACCAAATCCCATCAAATCATGACTCTGGAATGTCAGAAGTTGCCAAAAAATAAATAAGAGCGATTATGAGATTCAGTCCACCCTTCCTTCTATACGCTCAAGAGAAACATGTACACATAACTAACAGAGCCGAGCCATGCCTTAGCCCCTCCCTCTTTTTTCCCTGAAATTATTGATTGATAGCTAAACCTTGTTATTCACTGTGCTGTTAAAATAGACTTTATGATCCAACAACTCAATAAAAAAAAAAACTGATTTATTCAGGTGGTGGGTAAGTTGCCATTGAGAAAAAAAGAATGTGTCATGGCTCACATCCATCACCTCTTTTATTGCTGCAACACAACATGTAAAAATGAAGTCATTATAGTGACAAATCTGTGATCGCTTGAGTCTTTCCGTCTGGAAACTGGGCAGCTGATGGTGAAGGACAGAGCGATGGATGATCCAGTTTTGCCCCCCCCCCCCTTCAGTCTCTCTGATAAACGCACACAAACATGAGGATATGAGGATGACAAAGTGGGAGATGTGCAAACTTGCGAGGGTGGTGATGAAAAACAGCTGTTAGGGAAGGACGGTGTTTGCGTGTGAATACACACATGACAGCAATATTTATGCAAGTAGCAGCTCCTCACATACAAACACAATGTTCGCAGATGAAAGGCGGTAAACCTTAATGGCAGGTTGGCCATACATATAATGGTGTCTAACCACAGGCATTTTTCTTGGAAACCGTTTAACATCAAATATGCTCACAGGCTGGTTTACAGGACTTTGCAAAAGTCTTGAACCACTCCTTCTTTCTTAATATTTCAATTAGAAAACAGGATTTACTGAAACGTGCAAACAAAAATGGAAATGCAGCATATAAGGTGAAACGGACTTTGTACAATTCAAACATGTTGGAAAATCAATATTTGGTAGAACCACCCTTATACTTCAATACAGTCCAAACTCTCTTTGACAAGCTTTCTTGTAGTTTCTAAAGGTAGTCTTCAGGAAAGGTTTTTCAGACTTCTTGAAGGATATCCCAGAGCTCTTCTTTGGATGTTGGCTCCCGCTTGTGCGGCTCCCTGTCGAGATGATCCCACAATGCTAGTAACTGCTACCTGCTAGAAACAAAGTGCCTAAAGATACCATTTAAAAATGGTTCATTACCGAGTTGCCTGTTATACATAGAGACAACACTGGTTTCATCCTGAGAATAAAGTGTCTTTTTTATGTTTGAATGATTCATAGGGCAAAGTTAAGTTGCTCAAAATATAAAATAAAAAAAAAACATGTATTAAAAAAAAAACATGGAAAAAGAGAGAAGAAGCAGTCAATGTCCAAAGAAAAATAGACTTTCAGAAAGCCTCGAGAACTATTGCTCAGAAGCACTTTAGCAAATGACAAAGTCTGGCTCCTCGGAAGGAAAATGTAAAGAAATGAGGTGTTCCTTAAAACTTATACTATAAAGTATTTTAGAGTATAACAGTTAGATTCAAGAGTCACTCGATATTCTGAACTTGGGAGTACACCTGATTTAAAATATAGAAACAAAAAAATCCAGCATATTAGAACTTTGTTGTTTTAGTTTCTGTAACATTTGAAAGAAAAGGAAAAAAGGAGGTTATTGGAAGCTTTATACAGTAAAGGCAGGTCAGATTCCCTTACAAGTATTAATCGAACAAGCATTCGTCAGGATGACATTTGATGACCCCCCTTGTACCTATAATGATAAAATGGCCAAAGACAACTTCTGATGGAAACTCAGTCATTTTATTTAATAAACAGGCCTGAAATGTGATAGAAGCACTCGGTGTTTGAACACGTTCAGAAAAAACCTTCAAAAGTTACTCCTAGTAGGCTTTCAAGGGATAATGAGTGACGTTATCGGCTACAATGAAGAGCAATTGGAAAAAAAATATATATCACCAAGTGTTATCTTAGCCATATTTTAGTTCTTTAGATCAGCAATACTTTCTTAGAGATATCTTTAATCTAATGCATGAGATAGAGGAGCGTCAGTGACCTTAAAGGCTTCAAAGGCCTCCTGCTCGATTCAGATTTTTTTTTTCTCCTTTTTTTTCTTCTTTTTTTGTGAGAGTGGTTAATTACTGACAACTCTATGGCTCAATTTCATTTATAATCTTCTGTCCTACTGGCTCCATTCCTGGCTTTATCATTTTGTTTTTTATTTGCCTTCTCTGCACACCATTACTTCAGTGATCAACCTTTGAAATAAAGCCTAAGAATTGCCAAGGCTGAGTTTTACTTGGGTTTCCTCCTTTCCACTTTCAGTTTTAATATTTACGGATTATTAATCTCATGATAAAGTGCATGCCATAAAGTACATATTTCAGTGACAGCTTAAATCCTATCCACACTGTAACCCATTGTAAAAATGTCTACAGCTGTTCTAATTTCATAAAATACGTTCCAGTTTTTGTCTCTCTTTACAAACAATGCCCTTGTTGGTCCTTAGATTGATCTAAAAATTCACCCTGGCCCTTGAATATAAAAGGCATAAGGTCCAGATGTGAGCACAGATGATGGGTCCCTGTAGACCTCACCACATCAGCTGCCAACTGCACTGACATCTGCATGCAGAGTACCTTTTGTGGTCAATAGGAAATGGCCTCTTTAAGCTAAATTAGTAGCGCTGTGCCATTGAGACTAAACATTGGAAAAAGCTGGTAGGAAACTGTCTCTCTTACAAACATCATATAAATGGTGAGGAACGTTCAGTCAGAATTCTCAACTGTTTTTGCTTTTAAAACAGTCATAGCGTCCATTTTATTTAAACTGTCTTGCAAGTCTCACAAAAATGAGTTACTGTGGAGGCAGCACTGCAAACTAGGGATTTGGGCGATGGAATATACTGATGGGTTGGGACTCTTGAGTCGCTGACGTGTTGATGGCTGTGCTGAAGACTTCCCATTCTTTTGACAATATTTGACTTGGCAAGGAATTTTGAAGTAAAAGCAACTGGTTACCTTGTCACAACCCCTAAAGAGAAACCAGTGGTAACATGATCTTAGCGTGGGTGTTTGCTTTTTGCTGATTGAGTAGACATTTTGTGTATTACTTGAAGATTGAGGGGAGTTCACTGCGCTGAGGCGGGGTCAGTGGTTATGGCCTTGCAAAGTTGAATAATTGGAGAAAATTGAGGCATAATTTTTTTTACTTTTTGCTGTATTTTGCAGTGGGTGCATTGGTTAATTTCATCAGCCAGAGGTCTGACACATGTTCAGTTTTACAGTTTTCCATTACTCAAGGCATGCCATGGTACTTTGGAGGAACGTTGTTAGGCCGAGGAGCCATGCTGATGCATTTCTTTGAGTTATGACAGATTTTCTTTATTATGATTGAATGTGAGAAAAACTGAAACATGTTCTTAGCATTTATTTTTCTTAAAGCTTCTCAGACTGTTTATCACCTGCTTCATACACTATAAAGAGAGTTTCTTTAAAAATATAGATATTATTTTTAAATGTTATGCAATGGTGTGCTGGTTTAACCCACTTGAAATTGAATTGCACTGTATGTAGCCTGTAAACTAAAATGAGGTTGACACCCCTGTCATAGCTGTCGGATGGATAATCGCTTTTCTGGACCTAGAAATGAATTTTCAAATAAAAGCATGCAGATATTGTATGTCATGTATATATCAAGTTTGAGGTCTTTGCCAAAGTGCCTGATGTACTTAAGGCTACAGCTTGTGAGGAAATGGGTTTCAAATTTGACTTCGAATAATTATCCATAGCTTTGAATCATCAGAAGTTATTTTATTTTTAGTCAATGTAAGGAAGACACTTTGCTATAGTTTTACTGCAAGTAATATAACAAAAAAAAAAGTTGCTCATACTTTGGCAGAACATTTTTAGTAGGCTTCTGAAACCTTGGGACACAGTTGCTGTCCTACCTCTGTACTCTAATCCACCGATGAAATATAAACTTGGTAAGAAAATAAATCTTATCCTGTTGCAAAGCCTTTTTTTCCTCTTAAATTGTGCCATATTTGGAACGAAAATGCATTTATGGGTTGAGCAGCAGAGTTGAGTATGTGGGTAGCACTCATGAAAAACTTGCCAAATCTTCTCTGCCAATCCCAAACAGTTTATTATGCTACCGACTCTTGTTCTGAGCTCCTGGTGCCCCAGGTGCTGCTAATCAGGTGCCTGTGAGCATGGGCCGTACTACAGCTGTCAGTTGGTGTCTGCTCCAGGCATGTCATGCTATGATCTAGACAGGGCCTGTGCCACAGGAAAACTTCAAGCTGATTATCTGCAAAACCAAGTTGTTTTGTTGGCGTAAGTCCTAGTACCGTCTCCAAGTTCCATATAGGATCCTGTCAGACAAAGTGCATGTCCTAAGAATGAGACATCAGAAAAGGACAGTTTCCTCACCCTGTCAGCATGTAGGAATCTGCCACAACTGCCCTTCACTGTCAGTCCCATTTGCGGTGGTGTCGGCAAACTAAAAACATGAAGGGAAGTTATGCTCAGCAACGAGTCCAGATTCTGCCTACAGCAGCCGGATCATAGGATCAAAGTGTAGAGAAGACTCAGAGACCATTATGCTCATTCCTGCACTGATAGGGTGACAGTTTTTGGTGGAGGCAGCGTGATCGTGTGTTGACCAAGCTGGTGACCAGCATGAGGAGGTGGTGCCAGGCTGTTCTGGCTATGTATGGTTCTTCCACATGCTGCTGAGGCTTGCGTTTGTTAAATACATAAACTATAAATTGCCAGTGTTTCTTCAGGCTCCAATCTAATAAACACTAAAGAAATAGTCAAACACAGATTCCCTCACTTTTTGTCCTAAGTTCTTTTTGTTCGTTGTTATTTTATTTCAATATGGCTTATTTAACTGACCTATTAATACATTTTATAGAAACTGAGGCGACTGGAGGTCGCCAAATTCTCAGGAAACTGAAAAGTCGTACTCTTCTGCGTTACTGATTTCCTTCACTGGTTCATGTCTTTTAATATTTTATAGTACTTGTTTAGAGTGGGGAGATCACTTTCACAGTCTAGACTCATTCACTTTACAAACCGTTTGGCTACTGAAACATCTATCACATTTGTAAAACAGACCAGAGGTTGCCTATGAAGGAATCAATATCAATGTGGGGGGAAGATGACAGCTGCTCGACTCTGTCCCTGCCTGCAAAATGTAAAGGTTAAGAGGCATCATGAATTTGATAGGCCTCTTTGGGAATTCAACTCTGCTGGGAGGATCCAGCTCAGCCTCATTCTCTAATTTCTTCCCTTTTTTTTTTTATCATCTTCCTGAACAACATGAGGAGTTCTTTGCTGGCCTGGAAAACGGGACCGTTGGGGACTGAATATGAATTACTTCTTCAAAGAAAAGGGGGAAAGGCCAAGTCTATCTTGCCTCTAGCTGTCATCCTCTTCATTTTTTTTCCCCTACACATTTTTTCTATTTTCCACCTTCTCTTCTTTAAATGTAAAAAGCCAAGTTGATTACATTCTTACTGTCATATGTGTGTCCTCTCTTTTTCCTCTACCAGTCTCCTTTTCTCTGCCTCTCTTCTGTTCTGTTTTGGCTCCCACATCATAACCCCCCCATACCTCTTCCCTCCCTCGCTCCTCACATTACGCTCCAGCTTTTCCTCTCTGCGTCCCTCCCATCTCTCTCATTCATACACTGGCTTCATCTCTGCTCCATTAGTTATGCAGCTCTCTCTCCCTCTCACTCGTCTGCTCATCCACTGACCGGATAAATACCACTGCTTTGTAAGTAGTTCTCAGTTTTTCTTGTTGTTGGTGTTGTTCACTCCCAACTCTCTCCTCTTCACATCCTCCAAGGCTTCAGCAACTGTTGCTGTCTGTTCAGAATGGCAGAGGCTTGCTAGCATGCTGATGTGCTCAGAAACACAGATGGACAGGGTGATCCACAGAGGAGGGTGAGCAAAGGGACAGATCAGATGAAGTAAAGGCAGGGAGCCAGAGTGCGCATCATTACCGTCTCCCGTCTTGAGTGTCAAGCTTTTGGAAAAAAAGAGAGTTTGGGTGCTTGACCAAACTCTTCCTCTAATTAAGCAAGGAAGTGTGGCTTTGGACAAGCTGGGTCACATTTTAATGAGAGCTCTTTATACACTGGAATAGCTGCAGCCTTCTTAGTTGCACAATGAGACAGTTTCAGTGTCTCATTGCTGTTCTGCTTTACATTTTTCTGTTCATGTAACGTAAGCTTTACAAGTCAAAAATTAAGGTTAATGTTCTGCTTCCTGATATTTTTTGTCTGATCCGTATGAGTGTTGAATTTATCTTGTAAAATTGATTTTAATGTTAGTGCCAATATACTGATTGCAAACAAATTTCAGTAATTGATTAAATAATTCAAATTAAAGTGCATGAGCTTTTTGCTCCTTGGGTCCCCTCCTCTTTATTTATCAGAGTGCTCTGCTGTCTGCTTGGGAGTGGCATCCGTAGTAAAAGTTTTTTTTTTTCTTTAGCATGAATGAAGTTTTAATGAAACTTTAAATAAAAAGCCAACATTCTGTTGAAGTGGAGAAATGACTGATTCAATAACCGTTTGCTCAAATGTGAAGAATAAAAGTACTTGCTCAGCTGTGTTTGGAGGAGAGTCATGATGCTAATTCTGTCTGATTGATGTTTGTTTGGTGGTTTATTGGTCACTATTTTTGCTCTATGTGTATTGGATAATCACAGTCCTCCTCTAGCAGATTTCTTTCTATTAAGGAAGAAATCTGTGTCTTAGCTGATGTTGCACAGCCTGACCCCAAAGAAATGTAATTTTGTTTATAATTCAGTCCACATCCCTGTGCACAGTTCTAGACTCTTTATATCTTTACATATATTTTAATGGGCAGTGACTCTGCATTACAAGTTATTCAACCTCAAAATTTTCATCTGGCTCGCAGGTGAATTAAAGGCTAATGTTATATATGATGTGACTGTCAAGATTGAGCAGAGGAATCTTCCTTTATTTTATAACATGAAAGCACTTTATCTGCACAAGATGGAAATTTACTGTCAAACTCCTTTTGTCACCAGTAAAAGGACGAATCAAAAAGAAGTATTGCAAATTGAAGCCAGTATAATAAGAACATTAAACACTGCTCATAATAATACTGCATGTGTGCTTAAGATTATTATCAAGGATTATTAAGGAACATGATTAATGTTCCTTAATAATCAAGAGGTGTTTTAAAAGGTGCTGAAATGTGCATTTCTTCATATCATGTATTGCATTGCATGCAGTGTCAGATTAGTTTAGAGTGTGGAGCTAACCTTAGCAGTGCTAGCACCAGCAGCCCATCTTTCTTCTTGCATAACTGTCATCTGCATACTTTTCCATCGAAATCATTTACAGCTTCCTGCCAGAGAAAAGTTCAGTTGTTTGTCATGGCTGGGTAACTGTCTGGTGGCATTATAATATTTTTAAAATAACCTCCAATTGTTGCCCTTTAATTAAATTTTTCTAATTTTATTAATCAACTAAGAATTCTTGTGCCAACTAGCAAGGACAGCAATGTTTCTCACAAGTCCCTAATCAGTACAGAAATGCCTGACTTAATGGCCATTGACTGGAATTGGATGATTTCCAGCATTCTCCATGTTAACATGTTGTCAGTGTGTGTGTGTGTGTGTGTGTGTGTGTGTGTGTGTGTGTGTGTGGGGGGTTACTTTAGCCTATAACAATGGACCTAAACCGACACCTAAATAACTCATTTTTAAGAGGCTAACAAAGGCAAAGTGGCTAAAACTAAAGCTATCCACAGCTCAGGGCAAGCCACAGCCATGGTTTGAGCAAAGGATCTCAGACTTTAGGAAGAAAATTATAGAGATGAGTGAAAAGCAGAAAAGGGTCCAATGTCCTGTTATCTTGTGAATTTATAAACATTAAAGAAACAGAAAAAAAATGTGGTGATGGTGATGTTGACGTGTTGACTTTGGGTGGTGGTAAAGTGAGAAATTTGTATGAGATTAAACTGACCTCAAACAGCAAAGGCATTTTGTAATACACTCCCATGTCCTTTGGTTAGAGCTTACATCAGGACTGTGGCCCACAGCGTGTCTTTAAACTGTACACAAACTGTTCAGAGAAGAAACAGTTAACTGGTATTATGCCTGTAATAAAATTGCTAGCACTGACCTGTAGTTTGACGTTAGCTGAGCTGCTGTGGGAACAGCTCTATGCTATGGTACATTAGAACAGCCCATCCAACCAATCCAACTGGCTGGAGGCGCTGCAGGAAGTGTAGGAGAAACTTTCTCAGGGGTGAATTGACAGCTGGAATGCCAAAGGTCTGCAAGCCTGTAATTGCTCCAAATGAGCAATTTGGGGACACCAAAGCTTAAAGGAGAAAATCAGTCATAAACTTTGCTTTGTATTAACTATATTTTCTACTCAATTTGCAAGTCATTTGATGAATAAAACTACAGAAGACAAAGTTTACTTGAGGGAACAAAGAGTAGTGAAATGTTCCGGGTGACCCTTTTCTGTGTGTGGAGATTTCCACAAATTCTCAAGTTGCGTTTTGATAGTTATGTGCTAAAACACTGCACGTATAATCGACGTGAGTAATGGTTTGCACATGGACTGCTACAATATTGAGAAATTGATGGTGAACACATTCTCCTGCTTGCTGGATCTGGACTGTGAAATAAATCTAGTAGTCTTTGACCTGATAAGCCTTCCAGTTTTGAGGTCATCTTGATATGCGCACATCCAGGGCAAAACAGTCTAAATACTTATTTTTATTTGTAAAAAAATCATACAGAATGATTTCAGACTCAAAAAAACCAAACTTCAGTGATTTTAACTCCCACCCAAAGTCTTGCCTTGAGCCATCTCGAGCTGTGCCAGTGCTTTTCAGTGAGCGCTAGCCAACAAGGAGGGTTTTTTTTCTTTCTTTCTGCTGTATCAAGTGCTGCCATGCTCTTTAAGAAGACCAGATCAGAAATTCTTTGAGCATCAGCTGATGGCAGAAAATCAGTCATTATCTTCAGGAGAACAGCTGAGCTGCATAATGACCTCTAAACACTGAGGTTTTATTCATAAAATCCACATGTTTATCTTGAGCGATTCTTTTTAGACAACTTTTGAAAGGGAGCCAGTCTGAAAAGATTAGGATTTTTCACAGAAACTGTCATATTGAGAGTTCCAGACCTTCCTTTCTTCAAGCTGCAGTCTTGAGAAATACTTTTTGTTACTTATTCAACGGTTAAAGGCCAGTCAGTAGCAGACATCTTACAAGAAAGATCTGTGAATGTAACCAAAAACTGTTCTGACAGGTTTCAGTAATTGCTTGTACACTGGTTGCGCTAATTATTTGGTGTGTCTTTGACATTGTAATAAAATCTGTGAAAACATTTGAGGAAAAACACAAATACCGTTGGGTTTTCTTACATGATTGATATGAGAACTCTTAATTTTTTTTTAGCTCTAGCTCACTTAGTATGTTACCATTCACCTAAATAGGGAATGGCACTGGCTGTTCACTGTGGGGATCTGCTCAAGACCAGTCAGCCCTGTCGCTCAAGATGCAGAGTAACTTGTGGATAGTTGTTATGGAAATATAGGCAACATAGAGCCGGATGACAGAATGAAAGAGTAAAGATGATACCGGGGACCATACAATGCTTTATACTGACTGTTCACATGACTGAATCTGCTAGCCGGACTGACCTGCGTGTTTAGTGTCAGTTGCAAATTTCTCAGCCCGTGTGGCGTCAACTGTGCCGCTAAGCTCAGGATTTAAGTGGCGACTTGTCTGTGGTGTTCCACTGAGCCATGTTGTTGTGTAAAAGCTTCCTGTGTTTCTTTGTACTCAACCACAGACTTATACTATATTGAACACACCATATTTAAGAAAAACACAGGCCTTACATTTTAATGCAGGCTTATGTCGCAATCCCTTAAATTAAGTGGAGCATAACCATCAAACCTAGCAGTTTTGTACTTTAGTTTCTAGTGTTGTTGTTTGGGATATTTTCTTAACAAAACGAGTGCGCTGGTTCATAAGGCTCTGTTGAAATGTGATTGAGCAAGACAGAAGAGTTGACAGTTGTCATCATGTTGTGCCGAAATTGATTACCCTCTTACACCTTAATCCCAGCTTCATGGCACAGTTGAGATTAAATAACTTAAGCACTTTTTTTTTAATCTTGCTGCCAACATATATATTGTTGTCCTGCTGATTTTTAGTGGTTCAGATGGGACCTGTAGCCCAGCCTTGCTGCAGACAGTGTTGATGAGAGTGAGTCAGCAAACTGTGCTTTCAGAACTTGATTGTAGGCTCAAAAAGGTGAAGGGGATCTGGGCGGTCAGGTAAAAAAAACCCACTATGTTCTGTGCCAGATATATCAGAGTCTGATTAACTGAGAATCTTTTGACCTGTCAGCAAATAATTTGTTGATGCCTTTGTCCAGTGGTGACGCAGGAGAAGTTTAACAGCATGTTGGATATAAAAACAAGCAACGGTCATATGAGCATATGAGATGCTCAATATGTACTACTATGCAAAAATCTAGAGTCACCCCTGTTTTCTTTATATTTTGCTTTCAATTAATTAACCAGGCTTCATGTAATTTTTAAGGTGGTCTTGAGCAGTAGTTCTCCAGGGCCATCTTCCGCTACTTTCCTGTGAGTCATTGAAATATAAAAGAGACCCAGACTTCAAGGCATCAACCAGTGTTGTATGTTTAGACACTTTGTTACCGACTGCCTGTTACAAAAACCAACAATTTGTTCCCGTTTCTTTTGTTAAAATGACAAAAAATTACTAAATGAATTCCCAAACAGATGAATTCCCAAGCAGCTATTAACTATAAACTTGGCATATCTTGACAAGCCAAACACGCTGCCAATGCAGTAAAACACTATCTGGATAGAAAAACTCACAGTGGAACACTATCAGTCATGGATTGGGCTCCCCAGAGCCCGGACGTCAATATTATTGAAGACGTGCGGGATCGTGTGGCTAGAGAACAGAACAAAAGGCAGCCAACATCCAAAGAAGAGCTTTAAATGTCTTTCCGAAAGCCTGGAGATTTATTGAAATTTCTTCTTTTACTGGACTGTCTCTAGCTGTTTTACATGCAGACATGACATAACTGATTGGCTGCTGGCTGACCCAAAATTCATGGGATTGACTGAAAGTTGAATCCCTGCAAATTCCATCTGTTTTGTTTTTCTATTTTACTTACCAGACTAATTGCAGTCATCTGGTCTATCTCCAGTAATGCAGTCAGTACCAGAGACAGCGTAACACAAGGGAGAAAAAGACCACAAAAGTAGTAAACAAACAAAAGTAGTTGTGACCAAGTCTTTTCTAAAACCATAGAAATGAGTCTGCTGGATTATTTAATTTGACATCCTGACTGGTAATGGGCAGAAATATGTGAACCACATTTCAACCCCCAGACCCATGCAGCAGTTTGGGTTGTAACTTTTGGGCTTTTTTTTCTAACAAGTGAGCAAACTGAAGTTTGCCAGTGTCTTTTGTTGTACTGGACCTCATAGTAGAAACAATTCAGAGGTTTCTGCAGTTATGATTCTGGAAAAACATCTAAGTTCAAAGTAGTGTGACCTCAAAGGTTTGCCTCTGATACCAAACATGTATGCTAGCAGTTTTTTCACAGCATAACATCTGAGGATATTTTCTCCATCTTGTCTCCTCATTCAATTTTTGACAGATCTTTTTTTTTCCATTGTAAAGTGAATAAATGAACAAAAAAAGCGGAGCCCCTGAGATGACTGCTGTTATTTTTATCCCCCTAAAAGAGACGCATTGTCCTCGGATGCATTGGTGCAGAGCGGTTTATAGTGATTGAATTCTTAATACGGGGGGATGCTTTTGCATTATTTTCCTAAATTTTCCTTAGTCGCATAGCAACAAATAGTACAGCCACATATATTGCACCTAATACAACACCTTGAACAGATTGTACAGTTAAATAGGGGCGTTAGAATGAAGAAATGGAGGTATCATGTTCAGTTCAAGGTGCGTGGAGAAAGGAAAAAGTATGTAAGAGCTTTATTGTAAACTACATAAATAATCATAACAGTGAAAAATGATTCCACAGTTTTAATATTTTGATGAACTTGTACATGCATGTTGAAGCGCTTACAAAGTCAAGTACATACAGTATATCTGTAAAACCCCAGTAAAACAGGTTAGCTTAATGCCAACAACATACTTTTTTGTACTGTTTAACAAGAAGATTGATTGAAAAGTGTTCGTCCAACTGTAGGATAAACACGAGAGACTGATTCTAAGAACAAGCCATCGGGGCGACTTGAAACTCAAATGAGTTGATATTCACTGTGTTTTCTTCATTTGTTTAATAGATTGTCGTCTATGGCTTTTGGATGACTTTGCCTGGGTGATCAGTGTACCAGTAAATCTGATATCTGCTCTGTTACACTGCCAGAACAATGACTTGCTCTGAAAATGAGCCTCAATGTTTAGAGATCTGCTTTAGGCAAAGCAACAAAATGCTCTCTCCCCTTCTTTTCCTCCATCTTTGTTTGACTTTGTCTGTCTTCCCTTCCCGTTGCCCACCCCTTATTATTCCCTTCGTCACACTGTTGTGCATTTTGTTTATCTTGTCCTTCTCTGCCTTCTGTGTCTCTGTCATCTGCAGGTTCCAGCAGTAGCTGTTCTCTGCTTCACCAACTGGGACTCCATGGCTGGCAGTGGTGCTGCTTGATTCATTGCACTGTGAGTTTGCTTGTGGTTTGTCTGAGAATGAGTGTGTTGGTCTGTTTGTCTCTCTGTGTTTTTCTCATGCACTTTTCTTGGTTGTTAGGTGAGCCCATACAGAATAATACACTTTAACTCATCAAAAACCAAAGTCTCGACTTGTCCTTTGTAGTGTGTGCCTCTCCAGTGTTTTATTTGCGGTTCTGTTTTGTCACTTCTTCAAGTCGATACCCAAAGAGTCTGATTTCTCCCCACGGATTGAAGTCTTTCTGTGATTCGTCTCTTATTTTTCTTTCACCGTTTTGCTATTTCTGTTCCCTGTGCTGCATTTGTACTGAAATACTGTCTCTCTTCAAAGCAGAAACTGTATACACGCTGCCACTGTTCACCACTTGATGACTTACTGGTTGTCATATTACAGCTCCTAGCATTGCAGTTTGCCTATTAGTGCAATACTCTATCCATATTATGGCATGTAAGATATCTATAACAGCTACTGTAGCACTTTTTCCTTTCATAACTGGCTTTGTGAAAACTGACCTGAATAACTGAAGTAGCAGCCAATGCGTGCAGTGGAATATTAGATTATTGGAATCATGTATAGGAAGTGAAGGCATATAGATTGTCTCGGGGCATACTTGAAGATGCAAATACTCTGCTTTAATAACTCATGTATGCTGTTTTCCCCCCTGTGGTAAATTAAATCTCTTAGTAAAAAGTACTTAAAATATAGCCATCACCTCCTCCGCCTATATAAATTCAGAAGCCATGAATGCAGCAGTATCTTTTTATCTTTGGCTTTAGTGCTAGACACACTTTTTCAATTAGTCCGGTGTTGGATGGGAGATGAGCTTACTTTTTCCTTTCAGTACCACTCGTTTTTGCATTCATGCATCCGATTACCTTTTAAATGGAGGAACATTGTGATAGTTTTGAATTGAATTGATAGTAAATTGATTGTATTTAATGTGTATATTGTTTAGGATGAGTTTGATACTTGCAGTAAAAATTAAATAGTGATTATCCGACAGCTCTGTGACATTATGTTTTGCACATATGTTTTGAAAAAGAACAATGAAAACTAGATTTCCTACAAAGTAAACATTAGATTTTATAGGGGTTATATATGTTAAATGTTAATTCCTGATTCACCCTGTCTTTCATTCATTCATTTGGTCTCAACATATTTTTCACAGCTGTACCTTTGCAAACACATTGGTATGTATTTCTTGTGCTTGGCACTAGAGCTCATCCGATAGATCAGCCGATTTTAGCTATTTGCTGACAAATGCCAGTACAGCTGATGAATGAACACCTAAAAAGAAAAATTAGGAGCTCATGTTGCTACTGTTGATGTTGTGTATTTTGCCCACCAGAGAAAACTTCCCTGCAACATGCGTTTGGAAAGCCATAAACATGACAACCAGGTGATCCGAGCAGAGTCAGAGTAGCTGAGTAATCTATGACTTGTGGCAATAAAAATATTATCTTAGTAAGGTCTCATAAAAATCTATTCATAACAACTGTTACGTGAGCTTAAAGATGGTAAAACACACAGAGTCTTTTGACCAACTGCAAATATCAAAAGGACGGGACTGATCAGGGAAGTGCTTAAATTCAGAAACAGTGTTTTTCTTAGTAATCCATGCTGATCCAATTTTTTCTGCTAGTTAAAAGCCTTTTGTTGATGACTAACTTACCTTTGCTAACACTGTCATGCACTTATTACCTCACTAATGATCTCTGTTTCCATATGTCTCAGTGCCAGCTGGATAAAAAGCAGCCATCTGTGCTGCTGTGTCTCAGCAGGTTTAGGTCCTGGTCTGTTTGCATGTGCCTCCATCTCCACAGCTCCCACCACAGATGTTACTGTTTGTGTGGATAATGACAATAGATACTTCATGTGCTGTACTTAACCTTTCACAAAGAACCACTAGTCCTATCTTCTCTGCAACACTTGCTTTTATTTGGTGCATTGTGCTGAGACCTTAAGGCTACATGCGCACTGTGTTGGGTCACTTTTCTTGAAACGAGGCGTGGGCTTGAAGCCAAGTAAAATAACAAATATCCTCCCCATATTTTAGCAGGAAAAAGAAATCACAGTAAAAAAAAAAATTCTCATAATTTTTGCTGTTGACCTTCATTCCTAAATCTGCTTAGAAAAAGTGAATCATGTGGCAAATGCAAAAATTCCAGTATTGCTGCTGAAATGACACTTTTTCCAAATCTCAGCTATGCCAAGGGGGAAAAGATACTGACTGGCTTTTGTTAATGAGACCCGTCAGGCTTAATTTCACACACTGCACCAATTCAAACTATCCGTGGCTGGTCGGAGGAAGCAAGGGGGAGGAAATGCTTGTTCAGGCGAAGGCAAAGGTGTTGTACAAAGCAAACACAGACTGTCTCTTTCAAAACTTTCCACCCATAGGGATCTTGTCTTTTTCCTGTGTGCATTTTACCTGGACAAGTTAGTGGCGCAGGATGGCATTAGCCCTCTCTTGATGCCTCCGCCTTCTCCAGCATCCATTAGTTTCTGCTGCTGTTAGTTTGTTTTGCACTTGGCAGTTGAGAGCTGGGATGGTGTTATGTTCAGTTTAATTGGATGATGTGGTATTCTCTTCCAAGCTCTAGATGCCAGCATCATTTCTTGGCCCATGCCTTATCACCATCCTCAAAGCTACAGAAAGAGATTATTGCTCACATTGCAAAAAACGAAGGTCTCTGTCCCCCAAAAGCTAGAAAATGTTGAAAATGATAAAATTGATCAGAGATATAGTTTCTCTTTTCTTTCTCTAACTTTTACTTTCCTGATTTTTTTTTTCTTTTAATTTATTTATTTTCTGCACCAATGTCTGTCACCTCAAAAATACTCCTGGATTTCACACAACACATGAAAACAGCTGTGAGTGCTTTCTAAACTGAAGCCAGATTTTTGGATTAGCATAGCCGTTCTCCAGAGGACACAGTTAGCAGGCAGAGAAACAGACAAAAGCATGGTTAAATCATTAGTGAAATAAGCCTGGCCCCCATTACCATCAGCCTAACACAGTCCAAAACCACCATGGGAAGAGAGAGGGAGAATTTCTTCACTCAAAGAAACACAGTTTCTTTTTATTGATGGTAATTGGGAGCTGTTATCAAATCTGTCCCCCACTTCTCATTTCTCCCAGAGTTGAGCGCTGTAGAAGAAACAGGCGATTGTTCTTTGAAGAAAGTAGGACACATTTTTTCCAGGAGCTTCAGTTCTGTCTTGAGGCTGTTTCCGTCTCTTGGAGCTTCCTATATATTCAGCCTATACATGGAAATGCTTGTCCTCCAGAAAGACTAAAGCCTGGATAGGCAAGTTGTGCAAGAGTAACCATTTTTAATCAGTCCTGTATTTTACATACATGTAATGTATATATACTTTATGTAAGCTTTTGACATTTTCCTCCTTCTTTGTTAGTATTTTGCTGTATATACATTATTTGTCTCACACAATTGTATCACCAGAATATTTAGTAGTTATTATTAATTACTGTTTCTTTTAATGGGGATGCCACAGAAAGAGTTTAACAGATGTATTGCGTATAACATCTAGCTGCTTTTGAAAGCAGTTGAAAAGGACATACAGTACTCTCTAGAAGCTTTGATGGCATCCCTCATTTCTTTACATTTCTCTTCCAATGATTCAGTCGTTTTTATAATTTTTTGAAAGTGGTCTTGAGCAATAGCACCTGACTGTTCAGTGTTTTGTCTACACATAACAGGCAACTTCACAAAGAACCAGTTTGTATCCTTTGTTACTACCAGCCTGTCACTAAAATAGATTAATTCCCATTCCTGCTGTTTAATCTATGAAAAATCTCAGAGAACATAGTTTGACAGGTATAACACAGCATTTTTATGCCAACAAGGTGCCAAAGATTTACTGAAACTATCGAAAACTTGGTATATCTCGGCATACTGTGCAGTGTTTTGTTTTTTTTAAACTTAGGAAACTGGACAAGTGGACAGTAGAAGAAGTGCCAGGCCTAAAAAGCCAGCTGCTGTTCAATGGAGCCTCAGAAGTGGCTGTTGAAATGAAAGCTTTACTGACCTGGTTTCAAAGTTTCTTACTAGTTTTAGAATTTTGTAGCAGAGTAATAGGACAGGAGGGAAGAGGCTGCATGACTTGGCTTTGAATCCTCAAGGTTTTTGCAGCACCAAGGTAATCCAGTGATAGTTGCTATGTAGCAGTGGTAATATCTGATGATAGCTATTTCGGCAGATTCTTATATGGGTTAAAATAGCACTGAATTTACTTCCACAGTGTAACTTGGTTTAACACTGTAAATTGAACCTGTCAATCACAGAGCTTGCAGTGTCACTGCTTTGAAAGCCACCAATCACATTAAGCCCTTCTTCCTTTGGACTCTGCCCTCCAAGCTACCAAAAGTCAGATTGAGTCGAGCAAGCAGAATTCATCTTTGAGATTAGAGCCGCCTGCGTGAGCGTGAATCTGCCACAGAATGTGTGATGCGTCTTTGTGCTGAGCTGTGTTGAGTTGTACGCATGCAGATTGTTGAATTTGAATACCTGCAGCTGTGAAATGAATTGCTCATTATTGTGTTTTTTCTTCTGCGCCTATTTCGACACAAATAAGACTCCATAGTTGTGCTGCTGCAAATGAGTTCACCTGCTAGCCAGGGAGGGGCTGTGTGGCTGCCTGTCTGCCTCTCACTACTCGCCTTGCCACAAAATGCTGCAACTATTGAAGGCACTTTTAGCAAGCATGTGTAAGTGTGATGTTACAGTCTTGAAGCCAAAAGAATTTGCTGTGATCCCAACAGATTGCTGTTCACCGCCCCCCCGCCCCCCCCACTAGCACCCGAGGGATATCCAGCGCTCAGCACGATACTACCCTCACTGCTTCCTGGTGCCAACAAGCCTCTGTTTCACACGGTGGAGGTAGTGGAAGCAGGCGGAGCATTTTAGTCAGAGGGGGAAAGAAAGCCTTCATGAGCTCTCCACAGTTATCACCAGCCTGCCCCTGGCTA